ATCGGGGGGAAATCGAAAACCGGAAGCCGCTGAGACGACAAAGAGAGTTGCCGGTAGTTTCAAGCGAAACCCTAACCTCTCTCTCCGAGATGCCGCAAATAAGCTGGGTGTATCGTCTACAACCGTGCATCGAGCCAAAAAACGAGCCGGACTATCGACTTACAAGAAGGTAGTGACTCCAAATCGCGATGATAAACAAAATACGACGGCCAAAGCGCGATCCCGGAGGCTGTACACGACGATGCTGACGAAGTTTGACTGCGTGGTAATGGACGACGAAACCTACGTCAAAGCTGACTACAAGCAGCTTCCGGGACAGGAGTTTTATACGGCAAAAGGAAGGGGAAAGGTAGCAGATGTTTTCAAGCACATGAAACTGTCAAAGTTCGCAAAGAAATATCTGGTTTGGCAAGCCATCTGTACCTGTGGCTTGAAAAGCAGCATTTTCATAGCTTCCGGGACTGTCAACCAAGAAATTTACGTGAAAGAGTGTTTGAATAAACGTCTGCTGCCTTTCCTGAAGAAACACGGTTGTTCCGTACTGTTTTGGCCGGATTTGGCATCTTGCCATTACGGTAAAAAGGCCATGGAGTGGTACGCCGCCAAAAACGTGCAGGTGGTTCCCAAGGACAAGAACCCTCCCAACACGCCAGAGCTCCGCCCAATTGAGAAATACTGGGCTATTGTCAAGCGGAACCTAAAGAAGACCAAAAAAACTGCTAAGGGCGAGCAGCAGTTCAAGGCAAACTGGCTTTCTGCGGCGAAGAAGGTGGACAAGGTGGCTGTACAAAATCTGATGGCAGGGGTCAAGCGTAAGGCCCGGAAATGCGGATTTGGAAAAGCGGAAGCCTAACTGAATATTTTTCCTGAATTTTATACTAATTGAACTTGAAAAAGAAATTTAATTTGATTTTTTAAATAAACGATTTCACCGATTTACACGCGTTTTCCCTTGACCAAATGTTGACCGTATTTTTGGTTTCTTCAAAGCATCTGGAAATACACTTGTAGTTACAACAGTGTTAAATTAGTGTGTTATAGGCTCAATTAATAGAGGACAAATAGCCTTTAAGAATTTCATTGGTAGCATGTTGACTCCAAGAGCATTAGATTTGATGGAGTACATGGCATTTATGACATCTACTTGGTTTATTCTATCAAAATAGAAAACATCGTGGTTAAACCCGTTTGAACCCGTAGAACTAAAACTTCGAATATTATTGTCGGAAAAATAATTGCTAAAGTTACGGTTTATTAAAAGCTAAAGCTGTTCGATCATTGTTCATTTGCTTGACCGAATCCAAGTGCCCTGAGATTTTTCCACAATTCCTTAGGAGAAACCTTCGGATCAAGACGAGAAGCAAAATAATTTTGTTTTGCTGCGCGTATCATCTTCTTTACGTGATTTCGTGCTCTTTTAAACTCATGATGATCAACCACGTTGTTAATTAATTTCCATTGTTTGTATAATAAGTCACGATTAACGATGGTCCTACATATGCTAGAATTGAACCAAGGATTATCTTTTTTATTACTAATAGTAGTTCGGATTCGAACGAAAGTGTTATGGAGATCCGTCAAAACATTGTTAAAAAATTATAACTGCAGGTTTGAGCCATCAACGTAATTAAAATGGAGCTCAACCGAGTTAAAAGCCTCCGCCAAAGAATCAACTTGAATAGCATTGTATTCACGATATTCGATTTTCTTTGAAGCATGTATGACACTGAAATCAAGGGATGCAAAAATTAAGTCATGGTTGGATAATACAGGTACTTCAATTTGGTTAAATCTCAACACTTTTGATGAATCATTAGCAATAATTAAATCCAATTGCGACGCTCCACTTCTGTGAAAGAATGTTGGCTCGTTACGCAATGAATATAAAAAGTGAGTGGTGAGCAGGTTACAAAGCCTGGCAGACTTTCCTAAATGATTGGTCAACAAGTTCGTGTTGAAATCACCCATAAAGAAAACATTTTTATAGGCAAAACCTTAAGACGACCGTAAATTATCCATTGTATCCGAGCGTTAGTATGTGGGCGAGCTATTAGTTATGCCAAACCGACGATAAAATGCGTTGTTTACAAAAGCTGATATGTCCTTTCGAAAAGTAATCGAGATTTGTAGTTATCATTCAGCAAAGAAGCGCTGGAACGACGCGCAAAGTTCTAGGTGCAAAACTTAAACGCTGCGCGCTTGACAGGAACCGCCTTCGTACTGCTGCTACCTGCTTACCCGCCGTCCGAAGCGAAAATGAAATGAGGCATAACAGCAGCGCTCTTTTAAAGCTTTTCAGATTCAAGCAGCACGATGTGCAACCAAATTGTACTTGATTATGAAGACTAGGTTTGGGGAGAACGTTTATTTCATGAAAACAGTGATAAAATTATCACTTTCTATTTGTCCATTTTTAAAACAGTTTTTATGATAAATTGAAAAAAAGCGGTTATTGCAACAGCTTACGAAAGGTATTTCCTATCGATTGGTGTATTTGGATTTTAATTTCATCTATAAATGACAACGTTATAAGCGTTCAAAATCTTACACCTTTTCGTGGCGGTCGCAATTTTAGATTTTCGATTTACCCCCAGTACCTTCCCGTAAGACGTAGTCTACGTCAAAAAAATATATGTTGTTTTCCTTATCCAGGAAATTGAAGATTTTTTAAAATATCTTGTAAAAAAAATCATAATATAATGTTACTTACAGATTCCGAAGGCTCCCGAAAGAAATCATACAAAAGCAAAATGAATTTTGCTGTTACTGTAACCATGATTTTTACTGTGAAAATATTGATCATTTATGCACATTCCCACATAGTTCATGGTTAACAATTATTAAAATCATGGCATTTGAGAAATGTATAGTAAAAAAGGAGGGTTAAGTATCTATACAACAGAAAAATTTATTACTTCCCAAAAAAAAAAATGGCTCCAGAACTGTTTCATTGTGTATCTACAACAATTTCTTGATTCAAACTCTTTACAATTCAGTCCAATAGCTTTTGACCTAGTGACTCTACAAATATTCTATGACTCAACTGTTCAGTTAGTTCATCTTGAAAATTTAATCAAAGTACGAGAGTTTAATATTCCGGTTTGCGCAGACCAATATTAGGGGTTTCCATTAGCTCAGTCGGTAAAGGCGCAGTTACAAAGCAAGACCATGCTGGAGACGGCTGGGTTCGATTCCCGGTCCAGTCTAGGAGTTTGGAAAATTTCTCGACTCCCTGGGCATAGAGTATGATTGTACTTGCCACACAATTATACTAATGCAAAAATGGTAGCAGGCATCGAAAGCTCTCAATTAATAACTGTGGAAGTGCATCTAGAACACTAAGGACGCAATAAGCTAATATGCCATGAGCAATAAGCTTGAAATGCGAAGAAGAAGAAGAAGAATAAGAATAAGAATAAGAATAATAAGAATAAGAATAAAAATAAGAATAAGAATAAGAATAAGAATAAGAATAAGAATAAGAAGAAGAATAAGAATAAGAAGAAGAATAAGAAGAAGAAGAAGAAGAAGAATAAGAAGAAGAAGAATGCAGACCAATATTATGATCTGTGGTAAAAATCAAAATATTTTCATGGAAAGTGTTATTTTTTTTATTTTAATATTTTCAGTCGACCGTAAAGGCTAAAAATCGTGACAATAAGTTGACAAATCCGGACACTTTTAAATGGTCATTATTTTTTCGAACAATGTTAAATTTTATCGTGGTCTTGGTTGTATAAGTATTATTACATATATTTAGTATGTTGAAAAAAAAAAACCATTATGTTTTATAAAAAAAAAATGTCAGAATTAAGAACCGTCTGGTATTTGGTAAATTATTTTTTATTTTATCAAATCCAGAAAGCGTGAACATGTATATTTGATTAATTACGTCAGAATATATGTAAACATATGTTAAATGATTTTTCCACGTTCATTGTCCTTGATGAAACCAGATAAATTAAATTTTCACTGCCTCAGGAAATATCATCATGTTCCTAGCCTGGCGGTGTTGCTAAAAACACACTCCATGACAGTAGATCCCGAAGTTCTATGCAAATATTCAAGTAAGTTTTTGAGAATCGAAAAGTATTCTTCACTTGTGCAATCTTTATAATTTATTCATTCTTATCAGCAGCGTTTTTGTGTCATCGCTTGACAATGGCACATTATCTGAAAAGCAGTCGAAAATATGAACTCCCCACCCCTTTACTCAGCCGTGTGCAGTTGTTCGTAATTTTGTCAGATTCTTGAGCATCTCTTCTCTTTTCGTTCGTCTTTCATACACGTCACGGCCAAACAATGCTCGCAGCCAAACTTTTCCTCCATATTTGGAGGCACCTCCCCGGAAAGCATTCTTCATCTTTGCCTTTTTTTTATTCAACAGACTCACGTTAGGATATACGAGATGATGAACATGTCGCTCCACAATTCAGTTTCACGCTTTTTTTTCCTGGCTCGATTTGCGAATGCTGATTTCCTCTCTAGTACCTTAGGCTTGGAACCTCGTAGCGACAGTAGGAGCATATCTACCATTAAGGAGAAACGAAATAAAAAAGTTTGTTTTTGCTCAGCGCCTTATCCTTGCGGTGGAAGCTGATGGGAGAGTCACACTCGACTGGTGGAAGTAAGGAAAAGAAAGTTGTCGACAAAAATTAAGTTGAATATTGAAACTTTTGTTTCTGGCGAAAATAACGAAGTAAAAGTTTTGTTGAATTTATAAACTTGTGTCGTGAGTTAAGTTTTTTTCCTCCCTTCTTTCGTTTCCTGTTTGCTGCCAGGGCTCTGGGGGACTGAGACAGTCACTCAGTGCAGGGAGCTGTAACAAACAGCCCAGACTTCTTCGGTTGTCCTAGATCCACTTTCCATCCGGGTGATGACAAAGCATTTCAATTTTCTCTTGGGTGGAAAAACAGCTTTAAATCATCGCTGCATCAGCTGCTTGATGGACTAGATTAATTCTGAGATTACTTTCTTCTTTTCTTCTTTTACTCTTGCAGATTGAAAGTCGACAACAATGGTGGCGCCTGGTGTCCGAAGCACATGGTTTCGCGGAACCTCAACGAGTACCTGCAGCTCGATCTGAAGAAGATGCACATAGTCACAGCCATCAAGACGCAGGGTCGATTCGGAAAAGGGCAAGGCCGAGAGTACACCGAGGCATACGTGCTGGAATATTGGCGGCCGGGTTTCTCGAAGTGGAAGCGGTGGAAAAACACCCGGGACAATGAGGTAAGCGTGATGAAAATGGAATTTATGTCGTCTAAGATGTCATGTGGTATGAAGATTTCGTCAAACACGATTATTCAATAAGCTGCTATCTAAGAGAGACCAAAAAGACAGTCAAACTAACCAATATGCCAAATAAGTGGCCCTTCCTGCTTTATAGGTCCTCATTACAACTTACAGATACTACACAATCAGTAACTTTAATATAAATTATCAATTGTGTTTTTAATAGTCAATAAGGGATCGTAGTAGACATGGAGAATATCAGGAACTTATAACGAACCTTTGAACTAAAAATCGTCGTTGTTGCGAAGCTCTACAGTTTAATGTTTTATTGGATAGCGAGGGCTCAAGTTCTAGTGACGGTTGATCCTCCTTAAGATCGTCTAGAATGTGTTTCAGGATACTGGGATGATACGTGCTCCACTTGCGGAGATTGAAATATCCACTCATTAATATTATTAGTTCACACAGCTGTGTGCATGCTTGAACTACTGTATATTCGGCTTCATCGTTGATATAGAAGTCCTTAAAAATTGGGACAGCAAGTGAAAATAGCAAGAGAAGCCAAATACAAAGTAAAACGTTTGACTTGGGTTTGTTCCGGCAACAGGTTTTATGTACCTCGGATTCCCTTTTGCATCAAGCAACTTGCTTTAGAGTTTTATCGTACTGATAAACCAAAACTTGCCGAATCATTTTCATCACATCTCCTGTTATCATTAGCGGGAGCGACTATGCAAATCATTGAAGCCTGACCTAAGGGTCGTGTTTGCAGAAGATCGTTCAAGGCGAATGGGTTGCTGCTTTTGGCTGAACAATCGAACATGACGTTTAACTTGGTTGTAAATTGCAATTTTTAAAATAATGATTAGTAAAAAAATCGGTATAAATCGGTATCAAATCTAAAAAATCGGTATTCTGAGCAACTATATCGGTATATGAGCAACTATATGGGGTATATATTTTCACTGGATTTACGAAAACACTTCGCTGAATGCATGCAAACGATTCTTTATGCTTTCAGCTTCAATTTAACTATATGTTTACCACTGAGAAAAAGCAATTTAGCAAGGTTTTCTTGAAATGAAACACACGCACTACAAATTGTAGCTGATTTCGAGTTGCCGTAATAGAACAGCAGATTTACATGCAGTTCAAATGGTATGGTTGCCGAAGAAAAACTGGTTGCCGACAATACTCGCTCTCACTAGAGAAGATTGGAGCTTTGTAAAAGCGTTTCAAAACAGTTTTTGACAATTCTTTCGACTGAAATTGTTAGAGCAGCTGGCAGCAAAAGATTGTAAACAAACCAATACTGCATATGTGTGCGTTCCTTATAGAAAAAGGCTATAGAAAGAAGGTCACTGCTTAGGTTGCCGAGAATACGTAAATTCCCCTATTTAAAAACAGATCTGATGCCAAAATCTAACTTTTAACACTTACATCGTAGATACTTTAAATCTTGGACAAAGTTGTTTATCTTATGAAAATTAAAAACTTTTCTAAAGACGTCAACTTTCCACAGCCTACTGCCTACTTATAAACATATGTTATATTTTTGGGGTTTTTTTTTTCGGACAAAATGGGCCGAATGTTCTCAGAATTCTATAAAATTTCGCCCATAGGTAGATTTTCTGATGATACGACCGAAACAAAAATTTACCAGTTCGTGAGTGGCGGAGAAGGAAAACGGTGCGTGTTTGCGGACGGTCCGATTAAACGTAAAAAATCGATAGGGGAATTTACGTATTCTCGGCAATCTAAGCAGCTTCCGCACTTCTATTAGCATTTCCTCAGTGCCACGCACACATATGACGTGTTTGTTTGTTTACATTTATCTGCTGCTAGCTACTCTATCCATTTCAATCGACAGAACTGTCCAAAACGGGTTGAAAACGTTTTTAAGGCGCTCCAATCTTCTGAGGTGAGTGTGACTATTGTCGGCAGCTTCTTTTGCTTCGGCAACCTTTCCGTTTAAACTGTGTGTTAACCAGTTGTTATATTATCGACAACCTGAAATCAGCCGTATTTTCATGTGCTTATGTTTCATTTGAAGAAACACCTGACATAACAGGTTTTATCAGTCGTGAAAATGTATTAGGATTGAACCTGAAAGACTAAGGAATCGTTTAAATACATTCAGCGAAGTGTCGATGGCTGCCGAAGCCATCATTTACCCTATCAAATTGAATCCAATCATGATTGAATCTTTCCGAGGAGGTCATTTCACTTGTATGGCGTCGTCGCTGTCGTTTGCCTGTTGATGTTTCCTTTTGTGCGCGACCGTCGTTGACGGCTAGTCGGCACCAATACAATCCTCCCGGGTTGGTTCGGGATGACACCAACACCATGATCCTCCATAGGAGAGTTTTGTGATGAAAACGAATGACCTCTCCCCACTTATTTACCTTGGAGCAATGTGGAAGGAATCGAAAGGAAATCAGCTAAGTAGGGTTTTTGGTCTAATTTCCGTCCTACTAAGCACAACACGCGCTTTAGCCCTCTTTTCTGAACGAGTTTAAACAAAAAGTGGAATATTTATGTCAAAGATGACTTCTAAATTTATACACCTTTCCATACATTGTTGAGATATTATTTTAAATCTAATACTGCTTCTTGATTCTAAATTCTATGTGTTTCAATTTCGTCCTAACGCATTGAAACTCCATTAGATTTTCTTCGTCCTACGAATAAACGTAGAAAAAGGGGATTCGCTAGGAGCGCTTCTTTTGTTATGAGAACAATGAGCGTAAATATTCATACTGTGCGCTCTAATATGATTTATGTTGTAGCTAAGGACCAAACGTATTATCTATTTGAACACGGTGAAATCATTGATATTATTGATCTTTTCTGATCTATAGAACGGAAATGGACGATTACGATGAAGTAGTTCTCTACCCTATCAGATTTGAAAAAAAAAGAATTATTTTCAGCACCTTTTCAGCATTATATTTTTAGATGTTGTGAATTATATATGCATGTAGAACGCAAACGTTCTTTATTTAGGTGCGGATCAGCATCCCTCAGCTCCAGAATGCAGGTTTGGGATTGTTTTAATTTTCAAACAGTACACGCAAACCAAAAATCTATTACAATGAATGTTAGTTCCGTTTCCTATCATCCTTTGTTCATGAACATCGCAACGAATGTTAGAAATTGACCATGCAGGCGATGTAATGGTTTTTTGTCTTTTTTTATTTCGTGTTCCATCTACGCTTTCGACTATACCAGTAAGCTTGTAGAACGACGTACACTGTAGAACATTGTAGAACGACGCACACACTTGTCTCGAATCTCTCCAGCAGAAAAAGCATACGAAGTCGAGCATTTTTATTTCGTGTTGCATCTACGCTTTCGACTATATGTACCAGTAAGCTTGTAGAACGACGCACATTGTAGAACATTGTAGAACGACGCACACACTTAACTCGAATCTCTCCAGCAGAAAAAGCATACGAAGTCGAGCATGCGAGAAAATGAGCGCTTCATGTTTGCTTTTAGGCTGACCTTATTCAGAAGCATGGAGAGAGCAGTGGAGAAAGCACAGGTCTGATAGTCGCAACGTCCGTGGTTCGAGTCCAGACGGCAACCTTTTTCTATTTTTTTCGACATAATTAATTTCACTCACTAATACAACTCCACATTTTTCGTTCTCCAATTTTCTTACATCGGACCGCAGCTAGGTATATCGCATCCTCGGTTCATGCGGTCTCCACTTACATCCTCTGATGATGAATCCCACATAATTGTAAGCGAATCTTACATCCACCGGTTGGGTGTACCTATATTTTACAATTCATTTAGTGACAGTGCACAGTGTTGCTTTTTGCCTTTTTCGTGCGTTTTTTTAATAGCTTCTCAAACATTGATTTTAGGGGTATAGTTTGTTGAAAGACGTTTTTGCATATTTCAATCCGCTTCTTTTGATGTTGACGGTTTGGTGATTAATCCACCTAAAAGTGAGATCAAAAAAATATTTTTTATCTGATTCAGATAGAGACTTAACGTCTGCAATAAAGTTGTAGCAAATGTTATTTTAAGCAACTTAGCTGAACACTTAAAATTTCTAGCTCTTATAAATTGCGAGATATGTATCATTTTTCGTAAAAGGCCCCTTTAAATCATGTTTTTTAGTATAACTGATTTTCTAGGCATCCTATAATGTTAGTTTTTTCTACAACTAAATTTTGCATGTTTAAACACATGCTTTTGCTGAACATTGTAACTAATTATCTCTTGAAACAAAAAAGTTATTCTTAAATAATCGCAAAATTGGCGCAAAATTCTAGAAAAGATTCTGAATCTTTACTTATTTTACTGCCGAAAAGTTATAAAAACATGTGGCAGCACGCGATCTTTTTGGTGTTTTTTAATAACTAAAAAACTCCTGCGAATGTCTTATTTTTGAATACATTTTTTCAATTTTAAGAGATAGCATGTTACAATGTTCATGTATTTTTTGTATCACAACTTTGTAGAATATGTTAAAAATATCGAAAATCTAGGAAAAAAGTTATACTTAAAACAATTATTTATTAATGACATAATATATTCATCGGCCCCTAATACATCCACAAAACCTACGTTATTTTAAACATTTTTATGTGCATATTGTTTGTGTGCAGAGTAGCAGAAGATTGCAAGCGAAAGAAAACTTGAAATTTATTTGATTGATGAAAATTTGTCCAGCTGATTTGTCAAGCTTATAAAAAAATAATTTTCACTGGTGAACATCGCAAAGTGGTGGCTTAGGCCGTTTCTGAGTTATAAACAAAAAACTAACTGACAGGATGTCTTTTTTTAACTTTTTCGATTTCTTCTAACTTCAAATACTTTAAAAAGCCATAACTCAACAATGGTAATATAAACCACTCTGAAAACAGAACTTTTATCAAATTTTAATTTCTTTGTACCTACTCGGCGACTCCAAAATCGAAATTTATTCGCCATAATTTATCATCGCCATCAAATTATGCAATATGGCCCATATATTAAAT